GCCGGGCTGCCCAGGGAGAAGAAATAAACGCCGCCTGTGTGGTGGCCTCCAGCCAAGGATAGGGTCTCTTTCTCTTGCAGTTCCTGACAGAGCTTACCAGACTCTTTCAGAAGTGCAGAACTTCGGGGAGCGTTTTCATAACGCTGAAGAAATGTAAGTTTTACGTCTGTTACTGCATTAGAGAGGTGTGCGTCTAAACCAAAGTTACTGTTGTTAGCATGCATTTTAAAAGATACAGGGGTAGTTCGGAGTACCTGAAAAAAAGTACGGACAGATCAATCAGCTACAGTACTAATTATCTTGAAGTAAAGCTGTTTTTCAAACTGCAGGGAATACTGGGACTTTCTAAGTATTAAACAATAATATGAAATCCTTAGATTTTCCATAAAAAGAGAATTATAGAGTTGGTTTTGTGCGTTTGTTTCTCTGGTTTCTGGCTAGCTGGTGCTACTTGAGAAGTCAAGTGTCCTGGTCTGCAGTTTGACATGCATTTAAAACATACTGCTGCTGAAGCATGTCAGGGCCGGGATGTGCCTGGCTGATGCCGTTCATGGAACAGATCCTTCACGGGTTACAGAGGAGGGGTCTGTGAACAATTTGGCATTAATGTCAGTTCAGGTGGCCTTAAATTCCAAGGTGCTTTATACAGATCTCCTCATGAACAATTTTTAACATATGTCAGGAGGTGTCTGGTGATTTCAGTGAAATATGAATAAACATTCTGTGTCTTTCAATACAGATGATGGCAGAACAAAGCCAGTCCCACGCAAAGGCCACGCAGAAAGTTTTGAACCAGCAGACAATAAGTGTCTTCTAAGGGCAACTGATGGAAAGAAGAAAATTAGCACAGTGGTAAGTGACAACTTTGGGTTAGAAGGATTAGTGGTCCTGCTTGTATTTTATTTAATGCTCATATTTTGGGCATTTGTCTTTACATGAATTTTGTGAGAACAACCCTCTTAATTCTAGAGAAACCATATGCTGGCAAAATACACAGCTGAAGTTGGGATGCTGAAGTGTTACACTTAACCTGAAGTCTTAATGCTTACACTTGGCATTACAGACGAGACAGTTGTTTATGGTTTTGCTCTCTGTGCTGGACTTGGCTTCAGAATGGTTTTGGAGGACAGCAGAAGGTGACTTTGCCTGTTTTCAGCAACCTTTGCTGTTGTGTTTTGAGTCAGGTGAGATTGTTTGGAGGGAAGGGGGAAAGGAAGAAGGGTCCTGTACACCTACACTCAAACCTCAGGTGACAGGATGGAATCACTGAAGGTTCTTGCAACCCATGAAAGAACTGAGTGTTCCCAGACTGAAATAGTAGGAAAGGAATCATTTTTTTCCTGGCAAGAACACGTGGGTCCGGATAGACTCTTCTGAGCCTTAATCTTGCTTAGCATACCAATTTTTTCTCATTTACAGAGCTGTTTGTATTTCAGGGAATGTTATCTAGAAGTTGAAAACCTGATGTGTGTTTACTTTGAATTAAGAAATAGAGAAAGGCTTTAGCTGACATTAGCTCTCTGTGAGGAAACCCAAGGAAGAATGATACTTTGCAAAATAGTTAAGAGAATCTGGGCTGCAGCAAGTAAATAAAACGTTCCTTAGGATGTCCTTACCTTCTTCCCATTTTAAAAGAGATTTGGGATGAATGGCCTCCAGAGGATTTTGTTAATCAAGTAAGAAGTGTTTTCAGTTTTCTGAATTGGTGAAGTCCTGTGATGTGTCAGTACACCTACCTACTGCTGAATGGGATGAGTTGGTCCAACTGCTGCTAAGACTAGGTGGTCACTGGTGGATAAACACGTACTGATACTTGGTTTGTAATAAAAGCCAGTGTTTTCTTGGTTAACGTCCAATATTACTTTTGTAGGTGAGCTCAAAAGAAGTAAATAAATTCCAGATGGTAAGTTTTGTATGCCTTTTATCTTCTTTTTCTGTAGGTACTGGGGAGTGGTCAGTAAGGAAGCACTGGACAGCTGTGAACAGGTTGATTAAGAGCTGAACATCACACAGATTAACTTTACCCATCTATCTGCTTTTATTTTTTTTAAAAAAACCCTTTTGTATTTAACTTTCTGCATTGGTTTAGAAACAATAGTTTCCCAGTATAGGGTGTATGAGCATGAGTCTCTAACTAAGAAAATTCAGATACCTGTTCATTAGCAATATGGAAAATGTTACCTCTAGTACATTGTCACTTAGGTATTTGGTTTTTTAATGGTTCCAATTGTTGTTTCAGGCATATTCAAATTTGCTGAGAGCTAACATGGATGGCTTGAAGAAAAAAGACAAGAAAAGCAAAAACAAGAAGAGTAAAGCAACACAGTGACGGAACAGTGTCCTGCCATCACTATAACAGACTTGACCCTTGCTCAAAGCAAAGTCCATTTCTTTTTGAGTTACCACTTGTCTTTGGCTTTCCTTCCAGCAGGATACTGGGATGTGATCAGTACTTTTGTTTAAACTGAGAGCAGAAGGTGCCTTCTGTGGATTGCTGTACAGCAGGAGTATTTACAGGGTTATACTGAAATAGCTTTACACTCAGCTGCCAACTAGTTTTGTACTTATACTGCTATTTGTTTTGTATTATATGAGTGTAAAACCTGGGAGCAAAGCAAGACTGGAGCAGGAGTCTCAGTGATGGATGCCCAGTTTTATAGATAAGCCTCAGTAGTACTAGGGAAAGTGGGTGCCAACATACTACCAGGAACAGCAGCTTTCCTGTTTCTGTCTCATTTTGAGGGACGAGTCTACGGAGTGCAGTGCAGCTATCCCTCAGGCAGCCAGTAGCACAGTGCTTGAGCTCATGCAGAGCAAGGCAGCTGTGCCCTCGCTCCATGCTGACCCAGCTGTGCTCACCCTGGCTCAGGGTGGGGGGAGGGCAGGACTCCATATTCCTTTCAGACATGGCTTTAAAGTGCTCATGTCACCTATGCTTTTTTTTTTTTTTTTAGAGCTTCATCCTTCAGTATATTCAGGGATCTGAATTTCCCCATACTTCACATCTTAAAGTAGCTCCTTCATATGAGCAGGTGTAAAAGGTTTAATTGTTCCTATTAAATACAATGAGAAATGGAAGTGACTGATGTGACTTGTTTTGGTGAAGTGCTACAAATGGTACAGTTATCTGTACCCCAATGCTGTAACTTTCAGAGTTTTCAGTTCTTGGGTTTGTCTTTCAAGTTACCTCTTTACATACATTTTAACTTTGCCTTCCTCTTTACTACAAGAAAAGGGCAGAAAAAGGGAGTATGTATTTCTTAATGCAATAAGCCTGCAGTCCTAAATGCAAAGAAAGAGGAGTAAGCTGTTTAAATAGAAGGGGTACCAGGGTAAACACCAGCACACATGCAGAAATCCTTAACATTTCTGCATATTCAGTATTTTAAGTAGGTGGATGTGAAATAAAATGCATAGTTAACTATGGCTGTTGTAACTCATCTTTAGACTCGCTCAGCTTCTCTCCCTGATAGGGTTGTATTACAGTTTAGCTTCAAGAAGGTAGTTGTAAGACTCCCATAATTACTATGACTTTAACCTCATACTTAATCCAACAAGCCCTGTAAAGAAAGCCAGTTGCAAACTTTGGTTATGCCCCTGGCACACACAGGTTACTGTTTTCTCCTAAAAGTCTCAGGGTTAGGTCTGAAACAAGTTTTTCCTGTATCAGGCCTTATTTCACCTCCCAGGAAGCTGCTGCTTGATTTGAATGCAGTACAGGCATGACAAGATAGGCAGCCAAGCTTGCAACCACCCTCTCAGTTGAAATCTACCATCTTTTATTTATAAATTAAAACAATGGATTTAAAAAAAAAGCACAAACCACAAAAAACTTGTAATACATATTTCAAGAAGGCTCAGTAGCCAAACACTTTATTAAATAAAAGCCCTTCAAAAAAGTTTAAAACAGTTTGTTGGAGTTGAAGATAATTAATCCTCTAATCCTTGAACTGATTTTCTCATTTCAGTATTACTGTTGTATGTTGACATAAAATGTATTCTGAAACTGTACTTAAAAAAGTAGTTTTACACCTGCACAGCTGATAATCTCTTCTGTGGTTTAAGGGGCAAGAATTACATCACGATACATATCTGTGGCTGTAGTCAGACTTGCTCCTTAATTGCCTGTAAAACATTTATTTCTACTTTTTGACATAAATTTACAGTATATTACACATGAAATTCAATCTGGACACATAAAAAGGCATTAAGTAGCCTGCTTTGCATTATTACAGCTTTTTGAAATTCCTTTTGACAACAGACTGTCATGTGTTAGTAACAGCATCCCATAAAAGATGTTTAAGCACTAGAACAAAACCTTGTATTCGTCTCGGTAACTGTACAGGATAAGAGCAGGAACCCTGCAGAGAGAAGGAAAAAAAGAATTTTTAAACTTTGAAACTGCAGGTTCAAAAGCTACAATACCTGTGGCAAATCTTAGCAATAAGCTAACAACAAAGATCTAGTAGAACAGCAGTGAGTTTTAGTTCTTTGGCTGTGACTGCAATTTTCCCCTTCATTTTCTTTCACTTTATCCAGCCTGTCCAGTTTTCAGTCAGTGATCTGAAGGCTTATGGCAAAGCAGTGTTCTGTGTGCAGGCTTCAAATGGGAAAGGAAAACTGTCAGGGACTGCATTACATTCACACCCAGCATTGCATGGAATATTACTTGAGTGCAGTAATTGTTCCTCATAGTCTTGCAAGCCACAGGAACAAAACCATGTTTCACTTGCTATTTAGTTGCCTTAGTAGCTAGCCTGAAGCAATTTTGAGGTATCTCTACCAAAAAGGAATCAAAATAAATTTTTAGTCTCATTTAAAGGTTAAGTAGTATCTTCAAGCTGAACATAAGTTTAAAAAAATGTATTATAAATGAAACCCACAACAAGACATAAATACCCAGGTCTCACTTAACTGTAGCAGAATATGCAACAGTTGAATATCTGAGGCTTAAAACTAGGTGTGCCCAGATTTATCTGTTGCCAGAATCCAACAAGGAGACTACAAGTTGAATATAAATGTTTTTATGTTTAGAAAACAGAAGCAGGCTTTACTGTACATGGGAGAGCATGCATCATGTTTGCTTAAAGCTGGGCACTCTGTCAGCTGTGCCAGATTCCCATCTAATTCCTTCAAAGCAGGAGGAATTAAATGTGCTCATGAGTTTTAAAAGGGAATCTGAGTCCCTCCCATGAGAAAAGAGGGTTACTATGTAGTAGAGTAACTATACCTGAATGTATGTAGTTTGCTATTCAGTTTTATAAATGAAGCAGTAAGCAAGATAAAAGTGGGAATACGTTTCAGAATTTCTTGTAATTTTTTCATTTTTATAAGCCTTTACATGGCCAAGAATTTGTATTTTACCACAAGTGAGGATTAGAAGATGACCAGTAAACTCCCATTGTACTCTAGGAACTATACACATTTCTGGAATATTTATTTTTTTCCTCAAGGAGAGGGAAAAGGGAGGATAAATTAAGAGCAGCTCATTTAGTAAAGTTTGAATGCAGAAATAACTAAGATGTTTTATGTACTGCTAAGAGCTTAACAAATTTACCTCTTTTCCATTTTGATACTGTAAATTTCATCACAAATTGCTTGTAAGTATGAAGATCTCTGTTTTGGCCATCGTGACATCAGTTGTCTCACAGTAGCATCAAAGGCTTGTCTATCTCCATCAAACTAAGAAAAAAAAAAAAAGACAAACTATGATACAGTTTTACACTATGGTACAGTCTTACAGTCAGAAGGAAATACTTCTGATAGGATTCAGTCTTCTGAACATTGTGCAATGTTAGTGCTCCTTAAACAGATTTCAAAATTCATGTAAACATGAAACTTGATTTTTAAAAAGTTTTTTGAAAAGTATTAAGAATTTAGTGATCAATTTCTTAACACTGACAGTTTAGTGATAAAAAGGTGTAAGCAATGAAAAGGGTTCTATCAGTTTCACAATGCTGGACAGAATGTGAGAACTGAGGTGGTCAAAAGTGAATGATGCAAACTCATCATGTGCCTTTTATCACCTTTTACTTTTTTTAAAAAAAACCCCAACAAATGAACTCAAACTATCTCCATGAGTTGGATGCACTTGATGGACTGAGTAGTGTTTTGGAAATATTTACAAGTGATTCACTGGTGCCTGATTACCAGACAAGAATTGCTTCAGAGCAGCAAATGAAAGGAATTAAAAGTACTAAATCCACTCCCAGGCAGGATGCCATTCTTGAGTTTGTTTTTTCTGGGGGGTGGGGAAGCATCCATCTCTCAAGAACTTCTGACTTTAAAGCTACTGTTGTTGGAAGAAAGAAGAGTTTTGTCTTTGGTGTTTTTTTTCCCCTTCATTGAGCAGTTTCTGAGTTGTTAAAGGTGTCTAATACATCCCCTTTTTATCTTGGCTTCACTGAGAGATGTTTCAGCTACTGTACTCAAAACAATGCATCTATATTTTGGATCCTCCTTCATTAACAACTTCAAGAAACACCTTCGTTGAAACTGCTATTAATGCTTACTAGTTTCTGAAAAATCAGTAGTAAGACTTAATTTCAGTTAACTATTCTTGGGAAAAAACAGAGCTTTGAATGAGGACATCCTAAGGCTGTCTTGCGTAACTTGGGCATTTGACAAAAAGATTTTTCTAGTCTCAGTCAAGCTCCTTGGGTAAAAAAAATCCTTTCAGGTTTTAAAGCCTAACTAAAACTCCTTGAAAGAGAAACACTACAACAGGTGAATTTTACATTCACTTGATTAGGAACAGAATTTATCATTATTGTTCAATTAAAGAGTTTTAATGACAGTACTTAATTGCTTACCTCTAATGATAAGAAGTGCATCACAGTTGCTTTTGGCAGATCCACCTGTAAAAATATCATGAGGAAATCAAAACAGTTGTTCTATTATCAGTTTACCAACTAGAGACTAGCTATCCTAAAGGGAATCAGACTTTTTGATTTCCAGAGAAGCACTCGTGCTGATAGAAGTGGGAATTTACCAAGGTTTTAAACAAACTGTTGATGACAGATTCCATTATGGAAAGTTCCACACAGGTGCAGGCAAACAGACAGTATGCTTCCTGTAAAGCATTTATTATTTTAAAGTCCTTTGTGACAGGGTCAGCAAAGTCTAAAAGCTACATACAGACAAAAAGCTATGTTGGTTTAAACGTGAGAGCAGATCTAACAGAAGCAAGTTATTAAATCAACCACATTAGTTAGCATAAGCAGAGCTTTAGAATTTACAATTAAACGCTTGTTAGATTCTATCCTATGCAACTCTCCAATACATACAGTTTGATATACTCTCAAGTATTGAAGAAACATGCCATGGGTCTTAAGCAAAAGTTTGGTTCATTTGGTATCTGAAGTGAGACTATTGGCAATAGTTTGTTCCAGACAGCAACTACATCATCCAATTCAATTAAGAATTTTAGATTAATTCAGGCTTCTGCCAAATACTTACTGCTAAAATCTCAATCTCGCTTGTTTTCTGTTGCAGGCTAGAAATGAATGTCTGAAGTCTTGTTTGCACCTGGCAACAAAAGATGGGCAAAAGTAAGATACACTGCTGCTGTGCCAGAGGTTGGGAACACTTATTTTCAATTTCATAGATGATGAGAACAGAAAAGGCTGCTTCTAACAAAAGATGTAGAACTACATCATATTTAAACTCAGATTCACATTTAATATAATTTTCAGTAACAATTCCACAACAGTCCTCGATGTGTAGACAGGAAGGAGTCCAGGGCTGAGCCACTCTTGCAGCAGTGGTAAAGACTTGAAAATACTGGTACTCTGCTAAAGCAGACAGAACTGCACATTAGAATGTGAGTTCTGGCATATGTAATAAAAGCTGCCTTCCTGTTTCTGGGTGTTAGATAACTTTTCAGAGGAATGTGAGAACCTGTGACTGGATACAGCAAATCATCTCTAGCTGAAGAAGGACAACTGATTTCAAAACCAAACCGAAGTATGGATCATGCCTTGTAACACTTTTGCCAGAGCAAGCCAGTAATCCTGCAAAGGTAGCACTTTACAAATGTAGTTGCAGCCTTGCACTATGTTGTCTTTTGTATCTTGGAAAGATGCTTTTATGTATTAAAAACCTGAAAACAGCAAGTCTGTTTAGCTCAAAGCAGAGAATAACATCCACTTCTTTGTTTGGGTTCTGAGAGCTATTTGCAGGGGGGACTTTTTTGTTGCACATCCAAATTTGGACTGAAAAGTTTACAGTTCTGTTTTACACTGTGTACTCTTAAATATCTTGAAGTCAATAATCCTAAATGAGCAAACTCTGACATCTATTTCTATCCTTAATCTTTTCTATATTATTATATCATGTTTCAGGTACGGTGTGGGTTTTTTTTTTTTTTTAAACTGCAGTTTTTTCTTAGGCCTTTAGTTTGAGACAACATAATAGAGTATCTGTTACAAACATATCACAAATTAAAAGTATGTTAAATTTGCACCTTTAACACACTTCAGTATTAAAAAAAGGGAAATTCCAGAACCATAGTTCCTACTAAAATTACATTTCTAATATGCTAGTATTATGATGGCTGAGCCACAATGTCACAGATAATCCCCAAGATCCAAAATGTTAAAAAAGGTGGGTTTTCCTTTCAGCCTTTTGTGTTGGTTAGTCTATTTTAGGAATAAAGAGCAAACAGGATGTATTTGTGGAGGTTAGATAGTGAAAATATGAATTTTACCATTCCTTAACTTTTAAAGGATAGCTTCTTAATATTTATTTGATATGTGCGTACCTGAATTTCTTGACGACGCCTGGCACTGGCAGATAATTTTTCAGGAGCTATAACACTAACATTAGGCACTACAAGAGTTCCATGTGATTC